AGCTCGTTTTGGGAGAGTTCGGGCACGAGCCGAGCTCGCCCAAAAACCAACTAGCCGAGCTTAAGCTCGACTAGTTGGCAACGAGCCACGAGCTCGTGTGGGTATGGGCCGAGCCGAGCGCCACCACTATCTCCTGCCCCGCCAAACAATTCCCCGCCCTGTCCTCGTCCCCGTCCCCGTCCCCGTCCCTTTTCCTTTACCCCGTTTAAGGCAAGGCGGGACGGGGCACTTTCCCCGTTTACTATCTCGTTTAATTTTTTTTAAGTTTTTGATAATTTATTTTTATTGCCCCCCATTCATTAGATTTAGACAAATAATTTTAGTTGCAATTTTCTATTAGAACTAATGAAATTTCGTGAAATTTTCCATTTAAAATATTGAATTCTAAAAAAAAATTAAACAAGACGAGGGCACTCGTCACCCGTCCCTGCCCCGGAGCAAAATCCCCTGCGCCCGTCGCCAACCCGAATACCTGATTGAGGGTATCGTGTTTGTTGAATTTTTTTTGTTATCCCTAAATATGTATCAAGGTACAGCAAATCAAGTGGTCGATAGTGAAACGATTATTAGCTTTAGTGACTAAATATGTAAGAAAAATATTTTAATGACCTTTATGAAATTCTGCATATACTTGAGGGACTATTGGTAAAAGTAACTATTCAAAAAGGGGTTAATTTCAGAAACGGTCACTGAACTTATCTAAAAATTACAAAACGGTCACTAAAGTTTAAAACTTGCAGAAACGATCATTGAAATTTCACACACTTTCACAAACGGTCACTGAAATTTTAATTTGTTTCACAAACGGTCACTGAAGGACCGTTATGATTTTAATTCAAACTTAAAGGAAAAACATAGAATCTTGACTACCTCAAGTGCAAATTTCTTGCTATTAAGCGCCACCTTTGGAGCCTCGAATCACCACCTTCCGGCCACCAAGACCACCGGATCCGACCATCACCAAGTCTCGCCTCACTCTACTCTATAACCTCCAACCAATCGTCTGCCACAAAACATCATGAAGCAGCAGAAAATTGAGCCCAAAAACCCCATCTCGAAAACTCCTTTTCCGTCGGAAAACCCACCTCATGCGACGCTCATGTTATTTGGTGATTACTTGGTGCAATTGATTCATGACCCATTGTATTACCAACTTGAATTGAATGTATTAAGGTCGAATTTGATGATTGGGGTAGTGTAGAAACCTCAATCGATCGAGGACAAAACGGACTGCCTTGCGTCCTAGCCTGTTCGTCCACATTGAGCCCAAATTGCCGATGACTCGTGGTTGGAGTAGATGTGCCATGAAGGGAGGATGCCAGAATAGGTGGTCCGCGATCGTGGGGACCACCGTCGTAGTCGAAAATGTGATTGTTGGCTGCGAGTTCACTGATTCGAAATTCTGCTATAGATTTAGATTTTCTGTGTTATTTGATGTAATAGGACCATGTATAGATGAGCCATGTTGAGCTTAAGCGACTTGTGAGGTGTTATTAACATGGGAGTCGTCGAAGGTGGGTTTTTCTGTAGAAAAGGAGTTCGAGAGATGGGGTTTTTGGGCTCGATTTTCTGCTGATTCCTGATGTTTTGTGGTGGACAGTTGGTTGGAGGTTGTAGAGAAGAGTGAGGCAAGACTGATGGTGGTCAGATCCGGTGGTCTTGGTGGCTGAGGCTCCAAATGTGGCGTTTAATAGCAAGAAATTTACACTTGAGGTGGTCAAGTTTCTATGTCCACGTGTTTTGGTCCTTTAAGTTTAAATTAAAATCATAACGGTCCTTCAATGACCATTTGTGAAACAAATTAAAATTTCATTGACCGTTTGTGAAAGTGCGTGAAAGTGCAATGATCATTTCTGCAAGTTTTGAACTTCAGTGATCGTTTTGTAATTTTTAGGTAAATTCAGTTACCTTTTGTGAAATTAACCCGTTCAAAAACTTGTTTAGTGCAGTGAAACGGACAACCAATCACAGCCGTCCATAGTATTGCCATTTCAGACAGCGGTTAACCGTCACTGAATCTTGTCCTTAAATTAATTTAAAAATGCTTAAACGAGATACCAAATACGACGCCGTTAAACCAGGCGGTGAGTAGAGAGAAGATTTAGGAATACAGAAATAAACAATTTTTTAACATCATCTCTCTCTCAACAGTCCGAACTTCTATAGTCTATTTCATAAATTATTTGAAATTATCTAAAAAATAATTTGAATTCAATAGCTATTTTTAGAATTCTGTGTTAACTATTGATTTGAATGATTGAGATTGAAGTAATTAATTGGGGGTTTTGGGAAATTGGTGATTGAATTATGGGATTGGGTGATGTTGATCTTTTGGATGACGGAGGAGGAGGTAGGGGGAAGGGGACGCCGGTTGCGGTGTTGTGCTCGATATGCTTAGAGGCAGTGACGGATAATGGGGAGAGATCTTGGGCCAAGCTTCATTGCGGTCATCAATTCCACCTTGGTGAGTCAAAGATTTTAATTTGATCGGAAACTATCGAGATCTGAGCATTTGTATATGCGTCAATGTAGCGGCAACTTTTGAATTTTGATGATATTACATTTCAGTGGAGTTTCTAATTCAGTCTGAAAGCCTAATTTTAGCTGGAATTATGCGGTTTTGTGCTGTGGGCTTTAACTCGACATTTTATTTTTGCTCAAATTTTTTTTCTTTGAATTGTAACTTTTGGATTTGAGAGGTAAATGGTGGTGCAAGTGTTACTTGCTGATTGGAGAAATTGATGAGTGTTTGCCATAACAATAATCAAGTTATAGGTTGTTAGCTTAAGAATCTGTGGTGATTTGATGAACTGGGATTTTGAGAGGGTTGTACTGTCTGGGATTTGCCTCTATGGAATCTGTGTTTGATGTTTTAGGTGATTTACTTGATGTCAGACTTTTGGAAATAGTATGAAGCAGTTGTAATGTTTTACAAATTACAATGAGCCACGAAAATTTTCGAAAATGATTAAAACATTATAACGACACATAAGAACAATAAGTTATTGCAATTTTTTTTTTCCAAACAATGTAAAGCTAAGCTTTGTTGCTCAACAAATGCTTGTCTGTATATTGGCTTCTACTTTCCATTTTTGCTCTGTAACTAGGATGAGTATATGATAGTCAATCATTGTCAGAACTAGAATTGTTATTTGCAATTTGCTGTTTACATCAACATATGAACACATTTCCAGTACATTTTTTACCCTTGGGGTTTCTATAGATGTTATTGTGGGTGTTAAATTGATTGTGCTAGTAGTCAAACAACTCCTGTACAATTTGAAATGCTTGCTTGCTTTTCATTATTCACTCTGTATGATATTAAAAGAAATTCTTACCACTATTTGACTACTTTGCCATTAAACAAAAACCATTTCTAATGCATCTTCGAATTCTTTTACTCGTCTTTTTCAATTGTTGGTCACATAAATTTTTTTGTCTCTTTCCTTAATTAGTTCTTATCAAGATATTGAGACTTCTGGATTTTATTTTTCATTTACTTTTATCTTGTCATGATCTGTACAGATTGTATAGGTTCTGCATTCAATAGTAAGGGTGCAATGCAGTGTCCCAATTGTCGGAAAATTGAGAAAGGTCAATGGCTCTATGCAAATTGTAGTCGTCCACTGCCTGATTTAAGCATGGATGATTGGCAGCATGAGGAGGATCTATATGATATAAGCTTCTCTGAAATGGTAACAGCATCGACATGTAAATTGTAGGATACGATATGTAAATTGTAGGATATTGTTTTGACTTGTCATGCTTATATTTTGGCTTGTACTTCATTAGCTGCAATCATGTGAATGCACTCTACATTTTTCTATCAAAGTAATTTTATAGGGTGATCAGGGTTTGAGTTGCTTGAGGTGAAAAATGAAAGAAAAGGGAAGAGTGGGAAGGAAGAAGATGACGACAAAGAAATTAGAGGTGATACTAGAGAGCATAGTTTACTTTCCTCGTGAATTACTGGGTATGAATTGGTTTTAGACAGACCCACTGCTATATCATATGCTTGCTGCTATGCTGTTGCTTTCTAGATAATGCCATAATTGAGAGCCAACGTAGAATTTCTTGCATCTCCAATTCACCTTTCTATGCTTCTGAAGTTCCAAATGCATTTTATCTGTTGTCTCATTGTTGTATCCCAATTATTTTTTCTACAACTTTACCCTCTGCAGGTTTCAGATTAAGCCCTAGGTCTTCTTTTCAGATTAACATAACTGTTTGTATCACTGCACAGAACTTTGAGGGAGCTAGCGAATCAAACATTCGAAAATGTTCCTCTAATTGACATAAATACAGGGTCCAAGTCTCATGTGGCTCAGTTTCTGTGGGTTGCGTATTGATATTGATTTTGTATTTCACATTTAACTAAACATCTGTCATACTAGACATGAATGATATACGTCAAGATTGCCCATTTTCTTTTTCGTGAACTTTTTGTTACATAAATTGTGAAGTTGGTGGTGGTCTTGCATTGTCATTCTTGATGAAATTCATGAACATTAGCAATATTCTCTCCTTCCCTCTGGCTATCTTTTTTTACTCCCTTCATTTAAAATTTGGCATTTGCCTACAAATAGTGGTGTTCAAGGAATAGTGTAAATCTGGAACTATAGGAAGATTATTACCTTTAGTTGAATAGATAAGTTCACTTTTTCTGCAAATTGCGTCACTGACAATAAGTGCAAATCCACCTGCATCCATCATATTAGTTGCCATCACAGCTGACTCGACTATCTTTTCGAAAGTTATCTTGTAAATCCATTATAACCTCTATTGTCTATGAAATCTAATTTACTAAATGTTTTAATTGAACCATGTATTCATCTAGTCAGAATTGGAGCTTTTCTGCAAGGGGTTTCATTGCTTATAGTTGGTGGGTAACTTTCATTACCTGATAAAATAAACAGTGATATGCTTTTGCTGATATATAATTGGTGAAGCCCTTCTCTGAATTAGATGTATCTAGTTGTATTGTTTCTCACTGGAGAGAGAGTGTTTTATGCTTGCTACTAAATGATTGCAGTTAGATTATTTAGTTGCTACCATTTCCACCTAGACAACACCAAATTACATTGATGTACAATTTGTTTTAGTCATATCTTGTTTATACTTGAATCTTAATGAATTGAAAATTCTTTAATTTCTATTTTATTATGCATTTTTTATTTCTTTCTTTTTTTTGTTATCTTGTATCGGATTCTATCTAAACTTATTGTTGATCAGACTTACCAATCAATCCACTCTCTCTCTCTATTTCCCTGAAAAATTGTGAATGGTTTTTGCAGTCATTTGGAGTTCATTGGTGTCCATTCAGTGGGTTAACAAGGCTCGCTTCATCTTTTGAGTAAGCATCATTTTGCTTCATGAGTGTATTTCTTCCTTTCAATGTCAATTTCTAAAGTTGTTGGTGTACTTTTCTTTTTAATGTTTGAACATAAAGGTTCCCTCTTGTAATGCTCAATTTTCATTTGCCATTGTTTTTTTTTTCTTTTTTCTCTTTTTTTTTTTAGTGTGGAATAAAGGTGAGGGGAGGGAGGTACCAATCCTTGACCCTCAGTTGTGTAAACAAGCTTCCTTAACCAACTGGGACAATGTGAATTGGTTGCCATTGTTTATCTAGTAGACAATTTTAGCTTTGCTATTTTAGACATTGCACATTGTGTACGTGGTGCCTTGCCTAAGTATGAAACATTTTCTCTTTGCCTGATAACAAATCTATATCCATATGACCCTGGTCGCTTCACACAATCACTGCCTGCTACTTAGTCATCGTTGATTTTTGTGGAGAGAATTGTCCTAGCAGTTCCACTGGTTTCAGTGCAGTATTTGTCATTATATCATAGTTACCATGGTTGGCTTGCATAACTCGCCTTTTCTTTTCAACTCTTTTTCTGTTATTTCTTTTAATCAGTTACACTTAATATGTTTCTTTTTCTTCTTTGTATTCACAGTGAACGAGAATTTTCATCAAGTGCATGTAAGATTTCCGTAACCTCTATTCTAAATAGTGATGTTTACATCAAGCATCAGTAGTAATGGGGTTTGTCTCTGTTTCATAGATCACGATATTGGGCAACATACTATCTTTGCTGAACATACAGCTGGATCATCCTCAAATCCTCCTTGTCCCCCGTTCATTGCCTACATGGGACCTATTCGCCCATCGTCTTTAACCTCTAGTAGAAACGTTTCGGATGGATCTAATATTAACAATCACTGGATTGGCCCATCAATTCCAAGTGAGATCCCTAGTTCTTATTCTTTTCCTTCACGGATGTACATTATCACTTTTTGGAATCCCGTTCCTCTCCTTATGCTACTAGCAATCACATCGGTGGTGCAGATCAGCCCTCAGTTCATTCCGTGACTCAGAGAACGGCCAGGACCAATTCTGATATGCCAAGACCTGGATCTTTCATACACCCATTCCTTGTCAGTCAAAGGTTAGTCCATGATGTACCCTACACTGCTTGAATTATAATAGTAGAAAAGAGGATAGTGAGAAGTTATTTGATGCTTTGCATCATCTAGACCTAAATTCTCAGATTTTTTTAATTTTTTATTTTAAGTGAGGAAGGGGGTCTAGTGCTATGTCTTTCACTCACGCAAATTGTCATTTTTCTGCACATTTCTTGAATTTATGTGTAATATCGACATGTATCATGGCAGTTCTGCTAGTAGAGCTCCCAGCTCTGTTACCTCACCAGCTATTCCTCCTTACTCCAGTAGTGTTACTCGAGGGGTGCGTGATCGTGTTCAGTCTCTTCGAGGACATTATCAGAGACCAAGTGGCAACCCAATGGCACGCACACTTCTTACATCTGTCGGGCAAAGATCCTACAACAACAGGGGATTGGTTCAAGTTGTACCTCAAGCGTCAACATCAGATCAGTCTAGTGGCTTTTACTTCTTCTCATCAGGTTCATCTGGAAGAACTTTCCCCGAAGGAGAACAACCTATTCCCAATCGTTATAATACTTGGGGAAGAGAACATCTACCTCCCTTCCAGGTTGATAGAGAATCAATATGGGGGCCATTTTACCCGACAGCTAGTGGTTCTGATACAGGAATCAGATCCAGCAGTTATCGACAGAGGCATGGATAGAGGATGCTATCTCAAAATTGATAGTAGACTTATATATTCTGTTCCTGATAAAATCTGGGATTACAAATGGTCTGAAAACCAGTTGATGTATGTGTTGAGGGACTATTTCTAATGGTTGGAGTATGCCAATCATGCAAACCTTAAACTATAGCGTGAACTTGAAATTGTCGCTGTTCAGCAGCAACAGCCAACAACCTTTGCGATCCGACTTTAGCTTCGGCTTTTTTCATTTTGTTGCAGAAAATAATCTACCAGCATTCTGGTGTTGTGTTACACCACCTATGGTTTAGAAATTATCTGCTTCGGTCTACACCACTTGAACATAAAGGACCACCTAAATATGCTTTAGAAGTAAAGGCCCAAACGGATAGCTCTTAAGACTCGGGATTGATTTCCGAACTTAAATCATTCAGCTATAGATTTTTGACAAGTGATTATATATCTGCATACATATTGAAAGAAAAATAGAGTTGAAATTCAAGCACAAGGCAGAACTGAAAGGTCGAAGTAATTTATTGCAAGTTTTAAAGTACATATCTCTACTAGTTTCATCACGTGTTCGTGTTTTGGTATATCAAATTCTTGCAGAAACATAATTTGTTAGATCTTGCAAATAAGTGGATTTCGAAAACTTCGTTACATTGTGTGTTTGCTTTTTCCTACTTTGGATATTAGCTGAATATGTCTTAAACACGCTCCATTGACGAGCATATCATTGAGAACAAGAGCTCTCATGTCGTAATTTCTAGACGAAATGAAAATATTGGGGTTTATTTGATTGCATTTATTTTTTATGAAAGATCTCGATTTCCACCCAGTCCTACTTTGAAGCGTTTGGTTGCTATTTTTTTCCATTAAAAATATGCCTAACTTTTCTTGTTTTAAAAAAAACCATTTTCTTTGAGAGTGTAGATTCTCGTTTTCCTCATAACAAGAAAAATATTTTCTTTTCTACGATATATATCACTCTGTAATGTTGCTTATTCCCCAAGAACTGAATTAAGAACATGACAATCAATTCCGATGGAGATCAACTGCGGGAACAAGAATCAATTATTTTTGTTCATTTTGATCGAGGATAACAGACTTTTGGAACAGTAAGAGAATAATTTTAAAAAATCACTTTTAACACAGCTTCGTAGAGCTGTGTATTATTGGTAATCCAAATGCAAGACCACTTGGTAAGCATCCGTACGACACGACATTCATGAAAGACACCAAATTGTGTGATACATAACAACAAGCCTCTGCATGCATACCTCGACCAGCTGAGGCTCGATAGGTAGCGAAATAGGACCCACAACACGACATCAAGAACACCACAAAAGTACAATAAACTCTCACAGGAAATATAATATATTTAAATCTCAGATAGGGACTACTTTTTAGCACTACTGTTCTCAGTCCTGTCCAATTGTATGTAGCGTCACACAGTTTCTATGGTTACAATAAACTAGACAAGTACCATACAGAGTTTATTCTCACAGCCAACTAGCTGGCTCTAGTCTGCAAATCTCTGCTTCAATAGGATCTAACCTGCCAATAATTGAGACAAGTATTGGAAATAGTGGCAGAAAATGCAAAAAGAAAATCAACTAGATATATCATATAATTAAAACATACAGAGGAAGCATGGGATCGAGATCTGCTTCTGCTATAGCTGGGACTCCGCTCTGGACTCACACGCCTGCGTCTAGGAGGCTGTGTAGTACCAAATGTTGACAATAAGTGTGTGTATATATATGTAGCTGATATGTAAAAAAAAATAATCTCACATATCCGTAGTCTTTTATGGCTAAAGTTACACTTACAGGCGATGCTGGAGATCTGGATCGTGAGGGAGATCTGCAAAAAAAAATCCACAAACAACATAAACCAATATCCGGAATTTTGTTTAGTACCTATATCATAATGAATTTACGCTAACATATAACGTCCACAACTGAAAGAAGACACAATATTACCATAAACTAGCAGCAATCAACAGCGAAAGACTATACGAAGAAACGATTTCAGTTAAATGGGGATTGATTTGTGGACAGCTAATCACCGAAAACTTAGGAGGGCCAGGTCAAAGAGAACCCAAAACTCAAGCACCGATAACAAGCCTTCCACCAGTACCACCACAATCATGCAGCAGAATTGACTTATTATCAACAACATTAAAAGCAATTAATTTGAAATAATCCAGTTTTAAATTCATCCATCATTTCTCTGCTTAGAGCTTTTTTATTAATGGGTATCCACCACAAACAGGTTAAAATAATATTTACCATTTGGCCTTACCGCAGGTGCTCATTGACTAAACAGCATACTGCCACAATGAGTCGCATGATTGAGCACCACAAACCATCAAGTCCCTAACACGCAATCCACAGACCGCGAGGAAACGCCAAATCTAGAAAACAAAAAGGGTAATCTTCATAATCATTGTATCAAAACCCCAGAGTTGGCAAGTCCTTTCTCTACAAACCTCGTCTTTACCGCAGGTGCTCATTGACTAAACAGCATACTGCCACAATGAGACACATGATTGAGCACCACATATCATCAAGTCCCTAACATGCAATCCCCACACCTCGACGAGACACCGAATCTAGAAAACAAAAAGGCAGTCTTCATAATCATTGTATCAAAAACCCCAGAGTTGGCAAGTCCTTTCTCTACAAACCTCGTCCTCCTCCATATACAAAACAATGTTACACCACAGGATGAAACAATTGAGAACACAAGAATAGCATATCCATTCAGTTTAGTGTTTTGATGTAATGGCTTTCACACTGAAACTATTATCTCTCATCAATTTCTGTAGTTTACTTTCCTTAAATAAAAAGAAATTGTAAATTTGGAATAAAAAATGTTCATTTGATAAACGAACTGCTCAGTAGAAATCCAACTGAGATCCTAACAAATATAAATTTCTGGTTGATAAAAATAACTAACAAAATGGTCTTATTAGAAATAGTCATTGTTACACAAGGAGATAAGATAGTCAAAATAATTTATAATGAATTAAAAAATATTAATAATTAAATAGGAAGTTTGATTTGTGGTTTCTTCAAATGCCTGTATTTTCAATTTCAATTCAATGCTACACTTTGGAGAACAATAAATTTCTTCTAGCATATTAAGAATGGTTGGCCATGAGACCAATAAAAATTGGAAATGTTAGAGGGAGTACTAATTTTTTTCTCCACCATTTTGAAGTTGCCCATTTCCAGTTCTACAACTGTTCCTTAAAACACAAGCAGAATCAACTCTTCAATAGTTACAAATATTTCAATCGCGTCAAAAATAAATCCACTAGAATATAAGAAACAAAAAAAAATATATGAAAATGTCACAAGTTGGCAACATTGTTCTTTTTTTTTAAATATATATATTATCTGTCGGGTAGTGGGTAATGCATAATTTACAGCAGATTTTGCGATTTCCAGAAGGACATAAACTTTAGTAGCAAAGTAACTGTTAAGCAAGATATATATCTAAACATAGATCGCATGACAATCAATTACGTTTCCCTGTCACTTAATTAGGATCTGAACCAACTAGGATGCTTGATAGGGTAGCCTAGTAAACTTGCTATACTATTCAGGTCAATACTTGTCCGCTTTCAAATTCATCTACCAGCAATTCCCAAGTTCATGTTTTTCATAGCATATATCATGTACTACTAGATCTACACAATCTACGTGAGAATTGTTAAATTGATCTACAGCACTTCATCTGTTGGTCCTCCATTTTATACGATGAACTTGACACTGGATTTACTTCATTTTTGCTCAACCTCGTTGCATAACCCACTGGATTTCTTGCCCAAACTCCAAGCAATTCATATTGAAAGCAAATGAAATTTAATTTCAAAGTTGGACAGCTACATAAGCAAAATATGCTGTAAAATTATTTTCCTTCTAATTGGTTTGCAGCCCTCCCTCCCTTCTCTGCATGCGTTTCTACACATGTATGAACTCATTTGCATAATACAAGTTCTCCAATAATTCATCTTTCCACTATCACAAGAACAACTTACTATATTGATTCTAAGTTGGTCTATGCATTCAATTCCTATCCATGACTTCATGGCAATGAAGTAACATTTTCATTGGCTTCAATCTTTGAGGAAGTCAAAGGGCTGAGAGAACATGCCAAATGTGTGCAGGGCTCTGATGTAGGTAAAGACAAACCACCGCAAGATTTAGGTCATTCATTAGTTGTCAATATATCATAGTAAGTACAATTACAAAGAGGTTGATCAGTTGTTCCTTTAAATTTGGAGCGCAGGATTAAATATTAGCAGTGGAGATGACAGCTCCGTCCACTTTTAGCATTTTTCCAGTAGAAAATGAATTCTGGTTTTTTCAAGATATAACCATCACTCCAGAGAAAAACCTACTTAATTTTTGCTTGTTACTTTGTTCCCAAACGTTTCAGTTCTTATTCAACCTTCATTGCAATAGTAGGAGAATAAGTTGTATTTTACTTTCAACGTCATTGGTCCATATTTCATTGTAAACTACGATTAGTTTATTTTCTTCATTCCTCACATTGAAACAAGATTTTCTAACAGAAATTGTAGCTGCCAGTCAAAATTAGTTAACTGCAGCAATATTAAAGAACAATGTGTATATCTGTTTGAATAGTTTCAAATCCTGTCTGGTAGACCATATCTACATTTGAATTATAAAAAGAGTGCACCTAGGATATTGAGATCAATCAGTGCATCTAAGAAATGCAATCCAGTATTATAAATGTGTTGCTCTTGAATCTTTCTGAGTCTAGCATAATAAAATCCTCATCCAAAAACCAGACAAGGAAGGGAGTGATAGATCAGGTGAGCAGCCAATCTGAGTCATAGATATAGCTAATAAATGACAATTTTGTAAAAACACGAATTAACTGGTTCCTTAAAAGTTCATTATTCATGGATGGGTATCATGTCACACCGCCTCATAAGGCAATAGCACCTAAAAGAGAGAACACGCCCTCTTTTAACAACATAG